CTGTGGTATGATATTTTCAATTCTTCTGGAAAAATACCCAGATTCCCTTCACATTTTAACATCTCTGAAATTAAGATATACCCTAAAACCAACGAGTAAATGTAATACACTTCATGAAAGTGTTTATTTTTTACAACTTGCATGTGATCAGAATGGCAGATGCATCTTATAGTAGGTGACACTTTCCATCTAGATATGGTGGGCAAGGTGCTCTATAAATATTTGAACCTATATCTCTATACCTCTTTTCATAGACTGGAGGGGCAGCTTTCTTGGTATCTAATAGTCTTTTTGTCACAAGAAGCAAATTCAGGGCATCTGTTTCTTATTGGACATACGCTTCACAGTGCTCGTTCTTTCACAGAGTCCACGAATGAGTGACATCTTGAGGTTGGCGCCTGTAGACCATTGCGCATGCGCTTGAGGTGTGAGCCCGGTGGGGTGCGCATTTCTAGACTCTGGAGATGCTTGCGGCTGCCACAGTTAGTAGCCAGCGAGGTCTCTCCTGTCCTCTGCATCTTCTTTCCTTCCTCAGGTCCTGTAGCCTCTCGGCCTCCACCTGAAGTCTCGCCCCCTTATCAGTTTCTATCACTGCTGTAACCACGTTATATTTTCTATGGCTTAAAGCAACACTCATTTATTATCTTACTGTTCTGAAGGTCAGAATTCTGAGAGGTCTCAGGGCTGACCTCAAGGTGTTGGCAGCTGTGTTTCTCTCTGGAGCCTCCTGGGAGGACCTCACCACCTCGCTTTTCCTACCTAGGTTCTAGAGATTCGCCCTGTCCCCTTCCATGTCAAAGCTGGCCGTGGCCAGCCAGTACATTTTGATGGCCTTACTTTGGCCTCTTCTTCTGTCTAACTGGTCTGCTTTTAAGGACACTTGTCACAACGGGGCCACTGGGTAAATCAGGATAATTTACCTGATTTTAAGGTCAGCTCATTAATAATTTTATTCCCACCTGCAGCCTTAGTTTCTTTTTGCTGGGCAACTGACTCACAGACCCTGGGGAATAGGAGATGAATAGGAGGCAAGAGAATTATTTCCCCGTCACCATTTTATCTTTTTCAATTTCTGCACAAGTGGACAGTCATTCTGATCCATCTGAATCAGATCTCTGAATGCAGAAAGATTTTTAGAAAGTCATTTGTAAAACTTGATCCAACCTGAACTAATTTTGTGGCAGTATTTGATCTGAGTTAATGTGACACCAAATAGTTTTTATTTGTTGTGCTTGGTAGGAATATTCATACATCTTCCTATAGAAATATACATTTCTGCTTATTGGCTGCTTATCAAGGAGGAAAGAATATTGTATACACTATGAACACTGTATTATATTTCTAAAATCTAAGAAATTCTGAATTCCAAAATCTATCTTGCCCTATAAATTAAGTAAGAGGATGCAATTCTGTTATCAAATCAGTTTTCTGACTCTGTTATCAGAAGTATGATAATTATTAATTTTTAGACACATTTCACTGAACTTCTTACCTTAATTTACCTATATTCAATGCCCCAGAAAGAGAAAAGAGGAAATAAAATCCGTCCTTCTGTACATGGTTACAATTTAGTTAAGGTACTCCAGGGTCTGTCTCTATATACTCAGAACACAGGCCCATTAGATGTTAGAATGAGTGATTCTACATATGAAAAGACTCTTTTGCTTAGTGATATTTCTCTTCTCTTGGGTACACAAGTTCCAACAAAGTTTTTGAATCTAACCTTTGATTTGCTGACCTCATAAGTAAACACAGCTGCTCTGGTCTTGAGTGTGATGTCATAGTATACCATGATTCTGTCATTTCTATTTCCTTGGCTTCTCTGAAAGGAGTACATGTTTAAGAAATAAGGTCAGTTTTAAAAACTAAAAGCCATGTAACTAGAATTTGGCAATATCTTCTAAGTGCATTGATTTCCTTTCATTCCACAGGTTCAACTGCCATTTACTTATAGCCTCTTATAGCCCTGGTGTTATTCTAGATGTTGAGCATGTAAAGGAGGATTAGGCTTAATAACTTGACATCTTTATGAGATATAGTAATACACCATGGTAAAAGAAATGACAAAAAAGTGCACATGGGAATAATAAAGGTATTTATTGGGTTGGAGAGAGCTTTTAAGTTTTTTAGCTAGTCAAACTGGCTTATGCCTGAAGTTTCATAAATAGCAGGATAGGTAGTTCTAGATTCTTGCCATTTCTATGGTTATGTAGTGAAGCTTCACAAAGTCAGAGAGCACAAGTCCCCAGTGAAACTCACTTCTGACCATCACAAGGAGGGAAAGACAACAGGACGTCCCGAAAAGCAAATGCTCTTTACACTTATCACATGGTTTGGAGGAAGGTGTTGTGCTAGTGTAATGTATAGGTGAGTTGATTTTGAAAGGATACTTAAAGTTATGGGCAGAGCAGAAGTGGTAGAGAATGTTTTCCAACCGTGTTAGTGCACAGTAAGTCCTCAACAGTCATAGGACGATGGTGGATAAACTGGGACCCAGCTCCTGGAGGCCTGCGATGTTGAGACAGATGTTCCTGTTGCCTATTGTATGTCTGAACATCACAGCACTATCCTTCACCCATGGCCTGGACACCCCACAACTGCATTTATACTTCAGATTTGTTTCCTGCTTGCTCTCAGTGGCTCTTTAAGTGCTGCATCCTTTCTGCTTAGCTTGCTGCTAATGTTCTTAAAAACAAAAACAAAAACAATGTGGTGTCACTGATCCTTTGTATCTTTGCTATCCTGCTATAGCTAACTGTCTGTATGTGGCTGAGTCCCAGCATTTCACAACCAATATTTTAGGAAAATAATTTAATTTTATACTTTCATCTAATCAGTAATCAATAAGTGAGGCTATCCTCCTGGAGGAAGAATGAACCTTTTCTTCAGTCTCCACATGGCTGACTTCATCTCCTGGTTCCTCAGCGTGTAGATCATGGGGTTCAGGACAGGGATGATGACTGTGAAGGTGATAGAGACGGCTCTGTCCATGGGGAGAGCGGTGAAGGGCCGGGCGTAGACGTAGATGCAGGGCACAAAGTGCAGGGTCACTACGGTGATGTGGGCTGTGCAGGTGGAGACGGCTTTCCTCCTGCCCTCGCCTGTGTGAGACCTCAGCATCGTCAGGATGACCGTGTAGGACACAAGCAGGAAGATAAACCACAGCGTAGTGACCAGGCCATTGTTGGAAATCATCAGGATCTCCAGAGCAAAAGTGTCAGTGCAGGCGAGGTTGAGGACCTGCGGGACATCGCAGTAGAAAGTGTCAAGAACGTTGGGCCCGCAGAAGGGGAGCGGGAGCAAGAGGGCGATCTGCACGATGGAGTGGACGAAGCCGCTCAGCCAGGAGGCCACTATTAACCCAGTGCAAACACCTCTGCTCATGATGGTCACGTAGTGCAGGGGCCTGGAGATGGCCACGTAGCGGTCCAAGGCCATGACAGAGAGAGAAAAAATGTCTGCCCCACCAAGGAGGTGGAAGAAGAACATCTGGGTGATGCAGCTGTGGAAGGAGATGGTCTTTTTCCTTGAAAGAAGGTCGACTAGGACCTTGGGTGCAGTGACAGAGGAGAAGCAGATGTCCAGGACAGAGAGGTTGCGGAGCAGGATGTACATGGGGGTGTGAAGGCGGGGCTCGCAGGTCACGGTGACCATGATGGCCACATTTGCTAACACAATCATCACATAAACCAGAGATAAAAAGAAAAATAAGAGTAAACTCACCTCTTGAGACTGGGTAAGTCCACGAAAAATAAATTCAGTTACCCTGGTATGATTTCTGAGGGCCATTGGATGCTATTTCTTCCTCCGTGTATACCTTCGACGGAAACACTGTTACTAAGACAGTGAAATCAAGCAAGGTTCTTCTGTGCTGCAGAAGTGGGCCATGCATAAGTAACTGTTTTTGTCACTGTACAAGGTCCTCCATGAACTGGCTATGCTGCTCAGGAAAAATCACTCAGTGTTACTTGCCTCAGTCCTCTCATCAGTACCAGCTATGGACTGGACTATGCTCACTTACCTTCTTACTGTACTGGCTGAGTGCCCAGAGATTCTGCTGAAACCCACCTGTAGACGTTGTCAAGCAAGAGAATCTTAGGAAAGTCTTTGTGCAAGTAGTTCTGGGTTCCTTACACCTTCAGGAATCAGAAGCTCTGATTTTATTCCCTTTCTATGTTGTTTCTATGGTTTAAAAGACATTGGACTGAATTAATACTCATTTACAACATGATAGGAGCCTATTTAAACAGCATATTACAGCCTTAAAAAGGACTGCATCCTTAAATACAATAAGTTCTCTTAATACCCCTCTGAGATTCAAGGGGAAGGTATTTTTATTCCTGAGTCAATAATACCATAACTGAACATGAGAAGAACAAGCTGATTTTCCAAGGACTTAAAAGAAAATCATTGGCAGAGAAGTAAGATGAATTTCTTCTGGCTTCTCATTCCAGGATAGATATTAGAGTTCCCTGCCTACCTATTTCAGGACTCATAAATCCAACAACAATTAGCATAAGGAACTCTTCACTGAATTTTGCCTTTTCAGAGGTGGCTACTACTACCCTTTCTATTTCCTCTTTCTACTACTGTGGACTTTTTGGCCATTGATGGTCTCTTACTCTTTGCAAACTATGTCATGTAAGTGGCAACTCTTCTCTTCAGTTTTTAAATTTCATTTCATGGATACTCAGGTGTTTGGGTAGTGATGGAGCTTAACACAAAGAAGATACAAAGATGGTAAGAAATGGCTGTGTTCATGAGGACCAGGGCCCAAGTGGGCATACAGGAGAAAGGGCATGGGAAACAAGGTCACTACAGTGATGCAGGCATCAGTTAAAGATTGATTTTCTTATTTTCTCTTCTTATAAATATTGAGTAGTGGCTCAACGGAATACTACTCAGCCACAAAGAAGGGTAAATTTGGGTCATTTGTAGGAAACTGGATGCACCTTGAGCCCATAATGCTAAGTGACATAAGTTAAACATAAAAAGTCAGATAGCACATAGTTTGTCTTACATGAGAAAGTCAAAATATAAATAAAGAGAAAAATGAGAAATAGATAATAGGGAACAACGAAGTTCACTTTGTTTAGATGGGAAAGGAATCTGGAGGCAGAGACCTACAGAGGGGAGGAGGGAGGAGTACAAAAAGATTAAGATGTGATATATATATCTCCCCCACACTGAATGCATTTATTAGTATCGCAAACATACACTAATAAGAAAGGGAAAATGTGTAGCAGTGTCTGTTCAGCTTGGGGTTTGCATTTCCTGCCAGAATTCAGACCCAGACTCACCTCAGCACAACATGGAAAAAACGAAGTCTCTGCCCTTCCCCTGTAGCTTGTAGCTCCCCATGTTATGAAGTCCTGGCGGGAGAGAAAGGGCAGATGCAATGGAGAGCCTTTTCCACTCTGTGTGCTTTCCCTCTCTGAGTCATGATTGAGTACACGCTTGTTGCTTGAAGATTAGCTCATGAAAAACAGCTCCTGATGGGCTTAGAGACTTATGATGGTGGCCGTGTCACAAGTTCACTCAGAGGAAAAGCCAGCCTCAGCCTCAGCATCTGACTTGCCTGGTACTGTCATATGGACAGACGGCTCCCAGTTCAGGGCCCAGCGGAGAAGCATTGTGCCTGAGCAGTGTAAAAACAGCCTTGAGGAGTTACATAGAGAAGTAAACGGGGTTCCTTGCCTTGTTTCCCCAGTTCACTCAGTCTAAGAGGGAGCAATCCCATCCACAGCACACTGTGCCTGTGAACCAACAGTCTTACACGAACTGTCCATATTGCAAACAGCCAGGGTGTTGTACAACATTATGCTCCTGAGTACTCTGTTTTCTTCACTCCTCTCAGTTTGTTCCACGTTCTGAATCCTCAGTTAAGCCTGTATCATCTCCCCTTAGATTATTGCAAGAGTTCCCTAAATGGTTTGCTTCCATTCAGTCTACATTTCTCTAACTCATCTTCTGTGTTGTCTCCGGAGATATCTCTATGTCATCAATTGGATCTGTTAATCGTTTGTTTGAAAATTCTCAATGGTTTGTATCACTGGCAGAACAAAGGTTAGGCTTCTTTTATAATAGCATCTAAGACTTTTCTCCATCTTGGACATTATCCATAGCCCTGTTTCCTTTGATCCTCTGTTTCAGTGGCTCAACTGTTGTATAAATTATTGGAAGGTCACTCTTTAGGATCTGAATTGCTTTTGTTTCCTATGCCTACCATTTCCTCCCCACTCTCAGAATCTCCAGCCCATTCTCCTTGGCAAACACCAATCTTCAACATTCAGGTTCAAATTGTCTTCTTCTGTGAGAATTTTGTCTACTTTAAAAGTTTTTTTCTGGAGAGGTGGAAAAAAAGGAAAAAAAGTTTTTTTCAACTATTCTAGGTTCCTTGGGAGCCTATATGAACTTTAAAATTAGTTCAGCAGTTTCAACCAAAACAACTTCTGGAATTTTGTCTGCGATTGAATTGAATCTATAGGCAATTTTGAGAAGAATTTTCATATTGACAATATCAAGTCCTGCAAAGTGTGGCCATGGTCTCCTTCTCCCCCTCCTTTTTCTTCTCCCTTTCCCTCTCCCTCTCCTTCTCTTGCATGTTTTCCTCATTCCGTGATCTGACTTCTCTTCTGGTACCTGTAACAGTTTCTTGAAATAACTTCCTGTATGTCTCCTTAATTCGGTATAATTTCCCTACTAGCTCTCAAGTTCATCCTGTTTCTCCAGAGCTTTATCCATCCTAAGATTGTAGGAGCCTTACCTTGTCTGGGGCACATGGTAGGTGCTCAAGAAAGACTTTAAATCAATGAACAGCTTGAATGGTGACTATACTTTCTGACAGATAACCATCAGGGCTGAAGTCTGTGTGAGACAGTTCAGATTTGAGCTGGGAAATTGTCTTGCTCTTACCTCTGGCCATTTGCTTCTCCACTGATCAAGTAAATATGATAAGGTTATTAAACTCTGGCACATGGCAGAATTTCAATGAACTTGTTCTCTTCCTTTCTTCTGAAAGCCATATCTTCCTTGGATAACATGAAGGGTTACTTATGAAGACATTTGGAAAAGACAGCATGATGTCCCATCAAGGAACAGCTTCTCTTTGGACCAACTTGATTATTTTTGTTTGAATGAATGTGGGTGAACTGGGCAAGTGGGATAGAGGTTTCAGCCCGGGGTCTGTGTCTTTGGGAATAAAGATATGTCTGGATAAGAGGGAAGGAGACCCAGTGACCCAGGGTCAAGGTACATGTAGAGCTGCCTTTGAAGCCTCCACAGGTTGTAAGGGCGTATGGTTGTTTAAAGGAAGCTCCTATTTGGTAGAGAGAGGTTTGGAATCCCCATGGATAAATCCTAAGCTGAAACAAAAGCTGCACCATATTCAACTCATTTTTTCATTAAAAATACTGCCTTCTCTTGCCCTAGGACTCCATCTCTGTGACTCTTCTTTTGAAAGCATGGTTTACTTCCCAGTATTTAACACCCAATTCTTTATTTCCTGTTATTAGGGTTTTCAACTATTTCTGCATTTTCTTAGACACAGGGCATGTTGTTTTGTGATCATTATAATCATATATGATTCATAATATCAGACAGCCTTACATTTCAATATCCTTACCTAAATCCTCCAGTATCCAGTGATGAATTTACACCCCTGAATACTGGCAGCTTGGCCTCAGCACAAATGACAGAGGGGAAGCATTGTGCATGAAGGTGATGTCCTTTTGATTATTACACCAGACTTCAATGTCATGTCTTTATCTTTCATCTCAGAAAGGCAGAACCATCATGATTCCTTTGCCTGTTTTAAAGTGTCCCTACCAAAAGCACCAGTCTCTTAGGTCCAAACCTCTTGTGAGAATTAGCAAAGGAAATTTGGATGTGAGTGATGAAATAGAATGGGCAGTCTTGAGTGTCAAAGTTCCAGCGGGAGTTATTAAAAAGTTTACTACTACTACAAAAAAGTACACACACACACACACACACACACACACACACACACACACACAGGTGCCCACATCTCTGCTTTCCAAATGCTTGCAAGGCCCTGGAAGAGAGAAATCTCATCTGAATCTCTGAGTTTTGGAGAAACTGGTCTCTGGAAATATCTAATGTGAAATGATCATGATCATTCATTCTCAGTGTAATGTGTCCAAACGGACAACAACTGGTTCTTAAGGAAGCAAAAGCATGCTAGCAATTCCAGTAATGTGTGGCTCTTCAAAAGTCCCCAGTATATGCTAGACTGCAGGAAGGGCAGCCAGTGCAGGAAGTACCTGGGACTCAGGAACTAGCTTGGCCAGAAGAACCCAGTGTCTAACTCTTCCCCCTACATTGCAGAAGCATCTCAGACCCAGGAACTGGCTGGGCCAGAGGAACCCAGTGCCTGACCCAGCCGCTTCACCACAGGAAGGGCAGCCAGCATGGGAAGCACCCAGGACTTGGCAACCAGTTTGGCTGGAGGGACCCAGTGCCAGAGCCATCCCTCTACATGGCAGGAAGTGCCCAGTACCAAGCAACTGGCTCGGCCAGAGGAACCCAGGGTAAATACACTATAATAAAGGGAAACGCTTTGCACAAAAACTCCTAATTTATGACCAGTTCTGTTATATAACTATAGACTTTGCTCCTGTGGTCTAAAGTACAAAGCGAATAGTTACCAAAGACGGTCAATTTCTAAATTTTGCATGATGCTATCATTATTGCTAGTTGTACTATTGTAGCTAGGATGTGATACCTGTTAGAATCACTTGTTCTCCCTTGGGTAACAATATTGGGAAGCT